TATAAGTTGGGGCCAAACATGATTGTGCATTTAGAGAGGTTTTACATAGTACTTGCACTTAGGGGGTGCGACTGTATATATTTTATTCTAAGTTATCTACTGTATAAAAAAAACTTTTTTGCACAGCATATTCGTGCCAAATTTTCAATGGACTGGATAGTTCAATCCAGTAACGGTCCAGTCCAGTGACCAACACTTGACCGTATTGGCTTATTGCTTGGCATTCCGACCCAGGGTTTCCCTGTAAAAAAATAAATTAAATTCTTGCCGATCAAACTTGTCGCTTTTTCGTTTGCTTATTTTTATATAATCTTGTTATATATAGATTTTACTTGATATGTTATGTAGATATATATCAGGTAATAGAGACATGACACAAATTTATAACAAGGATATATGTTTCAAATATGGGTAGAAACAAGTATAACGATAATTAAATTTATTTTTTTGCATTTTTTATAAGTTATATTGAATTCCTTCAAAAAAAAAATTCTGTACATAAAAATATAAAAGGTTAGATCGACGGTCCATCATAAATACATCTAATTATCGCAAAATAGGAGTTCTTTTACATCGTTCGAGATCATGAAACTTCTATTTGAAAATTTAAAGTTTAGAAAAGCATCCGTTAAAACTACAGTTTATCTTTTTTGCCTTTTGTATTTTATCATATCGGCCCTTGTTGTTACAGCTGTAAAAAGGCAAGATTTCAAAACCTGCGAGCAAAGTTCTTTTTGTAAACGTAATAGAGCTTATGCCGACAGGTTAACTTCAAATCATTTACTTATATCTCCTTACTCTGTAATTCAAGATTCTATTATAATCAAAGATGGTATAATCTCTGGTGATCTTATCAATTCTGAAAATAATATAATTTTCATTTTTGAATTACATTTATTGGAAATTGGTGCAGCAAGGGTTCGAATTAATGAAAAAAAACCATTAAAACCTCGTTATGATAAAGTGAAGGATTGGGCTCTTGTTCAAGATCCATCACATACTTTAGAATATACCCTGATTCCTTCTAAACCTGATATCACATCTTTATCTTTCGGCAAAGAAAGAAAGCAATTGGTTTCAATTTATCATTCTCCATTTCGTGTTGAATTTTCAGTAAATGATGTACCTATAATCACGTTAAATGATCGTGGTTTTCTCAATTTTGAGCATTTAAGAAAACAAGACGCACCTGGCCTAGTTGATCAAAGTAATGGTGAAAATAATAATATTATAGATGAAAATGATCTTGATAAAGGTCTTTGGAAAGAAACTTTTAATGGCAAAGAGGATCCAAAACCAAATGGTAATGTATTCCTGTCTATATCTATCGCATTCAACAATAATTATTCATATAGTCATTTAAATTCACGTAAATAGGTCCTGAATCTATTGGGCTTGATGTTTCATTTCCGGGATTTAGTCATGTATATGGCATTCCTGAACACGCATCAACGTTTTCATTAAAAGAAACCCGGTATATAATATTTGAGTAATCATTTTTTTTCAAATTATTCTTTTCAATTGCTCATTTTATTTTTTTTTCCTCTCTTATAGAGGAGGTGACAATGCCTATTCTGATCCTTATCGTTTATATAACTTGGATGTATTTGAATATGAGGTGGATAATCCAATGGCACTTTATGGTTCTATTCCATTTATGATGGCTCATCGAAAAGGTGCATCAGCTGCTATTCTTTGGTTAAATGCTGCGGAAACATGGATCGACATAACCAAGAATAAAGAGGATAAGGTATCGAATGTCATAATAATAACTAATGGTTAAATGAAGTTCTTACAATATATTTAATATATTATAATTATTCATATTATTTGTTAGCATAGACTATCCAACTTGCTTGGTTTTGGCAAAGCTACTCCCACTTCAACTAGTACTCATTGGGTTTCGGAATCTGGTATTATCGATGTGTTCGCTTTTCTTGGTCCAACGACCTCCGACATCTTCTATCAATATGGGTTACTTACTGGATTTACCGCATTACCCCAATATTTTGCGATTGCTCATCATCAGTGTCGTTGGAATTACCTCAACCAAGAGGATGTTGCCGAAGTCGATGAAAATTTTGACAAATACGAGATTCCATATGACATAATTTGGTTAGATATTGAGCATACTGATGGGAAAAGATATTTTACATGGGATACTGCTAAATTTCCGACCCCCGAAAAAATGCAAAATGATATTGGTAGAAAGGGACGAAAGGTACACATTTATGAAAGTTTCGGGCTTATTTAACATTTGATACAATGATAACCTGTAATAATGTTATATGAATATGTTGTGTAGATGGTGACAATCGTTGATCCACATATCAAAATAGATAGCAACTATTATGTTTACAAAGAGGCTAAAGATCTGGACTACTTTATCAAAGAATCTGATGGCCGAGTATACGATGGATGGTGTTGGCCAGGCATGCAATTTTAGTTTTTCCACGTGTATTGTGTTGCTTTTCTTATTTTATTATAGTTATTAAAAGCTATGTCAATATAGGCAGCTCCTCTTGGGTAGACTACACTAATCCTTCTGCTCAAGAATGGTGGATTAAAAAATTTGCATTTAACCAGTATAAAGTAAGCTTATTTTCATTCATTATTCGAAAAATTAAAGCTTTTAATATACGATAATAATTTGTTTCTTTAACACAAAATGAAAAGGAATCAACTGAATTTTTATTTACATGGAATGATATGAATGAAGTATGATTATATTATTATAGTGATTGGACCCGTTCAACCCGGGTGACCCGTCGGGCTGATCCGGGTAGACTGACGGGTATTCCCAGCCAATCGCTGATGTTT